TAATTATACTATTTCTTTTAAAAAGCCCTCACAATGCTTTTAGAAAATATTAAAAATTCAGATTGTCATCTGGATATGTAAAAGCTCCAGGTAGGTCTGTATATAATAAAATAATGGTTTAGAAACATTGCTTCCTTTTGCCCTTCAGTTTTAAGTATCTCTAGACTGTGAGCTTTAGTTTATAAATAACTTTTCTTTCATTGTTAATGACTGAAACCAATTGAAGGCAGAGGGAACACAACAACACTATTGTTTTTTGCTCTCCTTCCTATCTTAGTTCAACATTCATATGTATCAAATGACCTCTTTTCTCAGTCACTGATCTGGAAACTGGCCTTTAACTGATTTCCTTTATTTAAGCTAACCATTTAGAAATTCATCCAGAATTTAAAACACTTAATAGGAGGCATAAAATTCCTTTTCCTTGATAATTTGCTAGAATGAACTGATGTGCTATACCTCAACTTTCAAACAAAACATTAAAATATTGTATCTTCAACTGAAGAAGACTTTATACAAATGCAATTTGAGTTTTAAAAACTCTATCAGTAATAGATTGACTACTATTGCCAAAGGAGCTTTTGGCACAATTAGTAATTACAAGGAATTATTCTGAAGAATACTCTTATTGAGCTGATTTAAGGGGAACCCAAGGTCAGCTCTCTGGTATTGTCCACATTTTTCTCCTGTTTTTTGTACTGCAAAAGAAATTGCTAAGGAGAAAAAATAAAACAAAACAAAAATAGCTGCATAATACATTTAATCAGTAGTATAAAAGAGCCATCCATTTAAAAGCACCCAAGCTTCTGCAGTTTTTCTTTAGAGCATCTTTTATTCTCATCATCCTTCCAAATTTTGGGGAACATCAGTTTGAATACTCCTGAAATGAGTCAGACTGTTATTGGAGAACAATTTAATTCACATCAAATTTAATTCACATCACATGTGCTATGTACGGAGCCCTTCGATGTCATTGTTCGCCCAATAATTAATCTGTAAGCCTTCCTATGTAAAGGACCCAAATATTTTAAAAACAACCAGATCCAAGCCATTATTGGAAGAAGGGACTACCTCCACTTCAATTCCCCCCTCCACTTACTTTCCTTCCTTCACTGCCCATTTGGCAGTTTGCCTACCCACCAGCTGCTGCCGTACCTGCTATTCCACATACCACTATTGGATGGGTCCTTCTATAATGCCAGGGTAGTTGGGTCCTTCTTTCATAAAGGGAAATCCTTGCTGTTGTGCAAAAGAAGGAGCATGAAGGGAGGTCCTGATCCTCTAGCTCTCATTCCCTGGCCTGTGGGATATTTCCATAGCACTCCTTGCTATAGCTGGGAGGGTGGCAGGCGAAGATGACAAAGGGCAGTTGGGCTGGTGGAGGGCAGTGGAGGGGGGGTGTAACGTTGTAAATGTTCACATGACCACGCGGGTCCTGTGACAACCAGAACTTCAAGAACTAATTATAAGTCCCTTCAGCACAGTTGTAATTTCGAAGGTGGCTAAACAAATGGTTGTTAAGCAAGGACTACCTGTATTCAGAATAAATTCAGTATAAATGTGTTATGGTGGAATGTGCATCAACAGGAACAATGGGAAAGAGTTTTGGCAGCACGGAATTTTGCCAGAGAGAGGCCCAGATTAAGAGACTATATAGTCAGGAATTGGAGAGAGGAAGAGGTTCAATATCCTGAGATATTCTAGAACAGAGGTCCCCAACCCTGGTCCGTGGTCGGGTACTGGGCTGTGACATGCCAGCAACCAGTTCGCACAAACAAGCAAAGCCCCATCCATGGGATGCAGGCAGCAGACAAAACCACACACTCTGGTCCGCGGAAAAACCTTTCTCCATTGAACCGGTCCCTGGTGCCCAAAAGGTTGGGGACCTCTGCCCTAGAATATCTCAGGATATATCTAGTAGGGTTCGGTGTTACAGCTTTAGTATGGCAAGATTCTGTTCATTATGTGTACGCAAATAAGGGATTAAACTGCACTGGATTTCACTATGTCACCTCAGAGTTTAGGCTTGACATGTATTATAATTAAATATATTCCACTGATCATACGAGTTTTAATTTTCTATCATTTGAACTTGCATAAAACTAAAACAGTTTGAAAAGAAGTTGCCCGCTTTATTTAGATGATACATGAAGATGCCAAGCAAACATAATTTTGGTAGAGGCATTCTCTCAAGTAGAAAAAGACTGTTTTTTCACTACTTTTAAGATGGTGCTTCATAACTGCTAGACCTGCAGTGCTTTGATTTCAGAGACAAAATGGTATTCAGAATTTGCAGCAGCACCTGCCTGCAACTTCTCAAACCAAATCTGTTTTTTCTCAAGATTATGCACAGCCATACAATTTCAGGGAAGGATGCAACAAGAGTTGCAGACAGGGGCTATTTTGCATCTTCACATGCTTTAAAATAAATCATCACTTTCTCTTCAAGTCTGAAGGTCTGCAGAGCCCTGCCGTCAAGTTTCTGCTGCTGTTTTAAATTATAATTCTTTTTAATCAATTAAAACATGAACAATGGTCATATCAATATTTATTTCTGTACTTCATTGTTAATACATCTAAAATATCAATATTATCTATTTATCATGGATTCAGGTAAATCTTCTGAATAAAGTGGGGAGGAGTGTTGCAAGGAATACTTGTTTTGACTATTTGAATCAACTTTCTTCTTTTTGTAGATCAGCAGTTCTCAGAGAGTAGTTTGGGGATTCCAAGATACTTTTTTTTTGTATATTTTACTGATTTTTTTTTTAGAATGACAATTTTTAGTGCTTAGTAAACGACATGTTGTCTGGGTCCATATATTTAACAACAGTGAATAGTAGTTAATTTCTATACTTTCATAATCAACATATTAACTAGAAATACTTTTCCTTGGTCCTCTGTTCTTCCAATAGGTTCTCCTTTTACCAACATTAAGCAAATATAGTTCTTAATACTTTCAATACATACAGATTTAAATATAAACATTTTTCTAATATTTAACAATAACACCAGTATGTAATGTCTTTTCCACTCAGCTTATTTTACAGTTGCATTTGCAAAAAATCATCGTATGGAAAGTACTATAGGTCCTGTTTTCAGAACTCTTATTTAAGCTTAGTTTCCCCTCAGTAGTCAAAACATTTGTCAGTTATAGTTTTCTCAAAACTGATTACATTTCAAATTTCAAAATATTTCATGTTTAAATCATCCCAATATTTTTACATTTCCCATATCATAAAAAAGAAAGAAAAAAATACTGTATTACTTATAGATCACATTTCTCTTACTGTAAAACTCCTTCATTTCCAAGATTTAACTATTCTTTTAACCATATTTAGACAAATGTTTGGTCATATGATATTCCATCTGGTATGTCAAGTCATCTCTCTTAAATATAGTTGTCGCCTGTTCTTATTTAAGCTTAGGTTCCCTTCAATATTCAGAACATTTCTTATCAGTTATAATTTTCTCCAAGTTGATTACAATTGAATATCCAAAACATTTCATTCATTTCAGGGGTAGTCAACCTTGACTCTTTTATGACTCATGGATTTCAACTCCCAGAATTCCTGAGCCAGCTAAGCTGGCTCAGGAATTCTGGGGATTGAAGTCCACGAGTCATAAAAGAGGCAAGGTTGACTACCCCTGATTTAAATCATCTCGTTATTTTTACATTTCCCATATCATAAACAATACTATACTACTTATAAATCACATCTCTCTTACTATAGAACCCAGTAACAAGGTTGTGAAGTGAATTTGACTTCCCCATCGACTTTGCCTGTCAGAAGGTTGCAAAAGGGGATCACACGACCCGGGGACACTGTAACCCGCATAAATACGAGTCAGTTGCCAAGCGGCTGAATTTTGATCATGTGCCCATGGGGGGGGGAAATGCAGAAAGGGTCATAAGTGTGAAAAACGGTGCTAAGTCACTTTCTTTCAGTGCCTTTGTAACTTCGAACGGTCACTAAAAGAACTGTTGTAAGTCGAGGACTACTTTGTACTCCATTCGGAGCAGGGACCCCCGACTCAAAACGGCCTTGCGTGGCCCGCAGAACTCTGCGCTGAAGTCAGTCCCAACCGAATTTATTCCCTGGAGGAAGCGTGCAGGGCGCTTCGTCCTCCAGATCAGGGCTTTTCAACCAGTGGTACGGGTACCACCTGTGATACATTGGCACCTGGCAGGTGGTACGCGAACATCCTAGAAAAGTAGTGGGGGAGGGGAATGAGCTGAACTGGTGGTAGCACCGCACAAGCCTAAGTGAATGATAGCTGGAGCTGCAGGGCTGTCAGGGCTCAGCGGAAGCACCAGGATCAGCGCCAGGCTCTAGCTGGAGCTCGGCGCTGATCCTGGTGCTTCTGCTAAGCCCAGACGAAGCGCCGATCAGCTGGAATGTTGCAGCATCTCCAGGGTCTTGTGATTTACATTCAGATGCTTGGCAACTGATTCATATTTATGATGGTCACAGTGTCCCAAGGACATGTGAAGTGACCAAAACCTGCTGCAATCACCCAGCAGACGGGGGGAATAAAAACCAAACACCCCCTCACCCAACCCCCGCTGCCAATCCTCAACAGAAATGCTCACAACAATGGAAACCTCAGACAGGAGGAAGAGCGCGGCCAGGTGGGCAAGCAAGTGTCTTGCTCGGTTATGGCTTGGGGGGCACTTTTTCAGTGCCATTGTAACTTCAAACAGTCACTAAGCGAACTGTTGTAAGTTGAGGACTACCTGTACTTTATCACTTTTTTCCTTTTTTGGAAAGTTTTTGACATCTTGCTAGGCGACTGGTGGTACTCGGATACTGCCATATCCTAAAAGTGGTACAATGGGTGAAAAGGTTGAAAAGCCCTGCTTCCAGATCTCTGAAAAACGGCTCTCAACGAAGCGAGAAAGGGTTGCAAAACGAAAAAGCAAGGAAGGTTGGCCCACAATAAAACAAGCCAGCTGCACCACGGCTTTTTTCTTCTCCGCCCCCAAGCGGCTGGAGGAAGAGGGGAGAAAAAAAAAAAAAGGCCCAGGGCCGCTAGCTTTTCCCCCGCCCCGCGCAGGGCTCTCTGAACATGGCCACGCACGTTTTCCTCACGGGACCCCCAGGTAACTCCTCTCTCTCTCCGCCTAGCGAGAACGCAGGGAAGAGCGGGCAAGGTCACGGCCCCCAGCGAGGAAGAGCTAGCGGGAGGAGCTGGGAAGAGAACGAGGCCTTCCCGGCCGGCCGGGAAATCGGGCTTTGCTTCGGCACGCGGCCGGCGGTAGTCCCGTGCAGGAGCAAGGCGGGGAAGAGCCGGCAAAGCACATTTGCAGATTCTACCTCGCTTTCGCAACGCCTTATTTCCGGCTGTGGGTGGGTGGGTGGAGAGAAAGAGAGAGGTTTTCTTCCGAGTAAATTACGTTTCGGGGGGATCAGTTTGTCCTTTTGCATTCAGTAGGCTTTGCTCCCGACCCGGTACAATTGCGAGCCGCACCAGTTCCGAGCTCCTTTTGCAGATCAGACCGCGGAGTTGCGCCCAACTTATGCTCCCCCCGATGGAAACACAGTGGGGCTTATTTTTGGAATGGAAGATATTTACAGGGCGGGGCCCACAGCGCGGTTTCTTATTAGTTGTTTGCCTGGAATAGATCCCTGGAATAGATTCCTGAAAGTGTTAAAATTGTAAACTATTGTAAACTATAGAAACAGTCGTCTAGACCAGGGGTAGGCAACCTCGGCTCTTTTATGACTCATGGACTTCAATTCCCAGAATTCCTGAGCCAGCTTAGCTGGCTCAGGAATTCTGGGAGTTGAAGTCCATGAGTCATAAAAGAGCCGAGGTTGCCTACCCCTGGTCTAGACTCTAGATATATTGATAGGATTATACAGGATGACAGCAGTTTGGTTTTGGTTGAAGTGGAGATTATATTAATAAGTACAAGCTTTTATGGGGTAGTGTTCTGTAGGAAGTGGAAATTGAAACGAAATCCCTCCTTAATTACCTTTAGAGAGGGTCTTAACAGAGATAGCAGCCACAAAATTCTCCAGCAGATGTTGCATTTCTGTTGATGGCCTTCAGAAATTGAGGCATGGGAATGCCTGGCCAAAATGGCAGTGGATTTCTCTTCAGTATGTTGTAACTCAGTTCATTGCTTGCAGAGAGGTTCAAATCTGATAATGGGTCTCCTGTTCCCAGTATTAACTACACACCCTTTATTGTTGCAAAGGAGGAATGCTCCTTTCCCCTCCAATACTATAATATCTTCCACCTTCTTATGTATGTATTTAATATTTTCATGTGCAAATTCCTATTGTTGAGTATCTTGTAATCTGGAACAAGTATATTTTGACACAGTGTTAGACTACAGTTAAGGAGGGTTCTATTCAAATCCATCTTTACTAGAAGAGTTTGGACTAGCTATTCTTCCTCACCATCTACTTCACAAGGTTATGCACCAATGAAATATAGAGGGAGGGTCCCTTTGTATTTATCCTTGCTTTGAGGTCCTGGAAAAAGGTAGGATTAAAAAAAAACAGGAAAGGAATAAATCAGGATACATTTGTGAATAAACAGGGAAAGATAATATAATTATTCCAATTACACATATTTGCTTGGCTCCTATAAACTAGGGGCTTGGCATCTTCAAGACACATTGTACCTGCAGAGTCTCAAATTTGAACTCTGCTCTAACGATTCTGCCTATTTTTTTCCTTGGAAAAAACAAGGGGTGAGAATGGCATTTGCTGTACAGCAAACACAACTGCTGTTCTCCATAGAGTTGCAGAGGAAAAGTGCTTTTCTCTTGAGTTGACAAGTTCACTCCCACTTCACATTCCTGCATGGACAAGTTACTATCTGGAAGCTGAGGTTCTTTTTAAGTCTGCTGCCTGGTATTGTCTGGTACACTGTGGCTGATAAAGAATCAAATCAAGTCTGGTCTTCTGAGTAGAGTAAGGGATTAAGATAAAGGGACTAAGAAGGGTCTTATATTTCCCTGAAAAAGGAGCATTTTGGAGAGGGATTTAGAGGGAACAAAGAACAAGGCCCATGGAGATATTTTGTGGACCAATCCGGTAATAAGAACTAAAGTTTTCAGATCTGGCCTGCAAGATGTCAACAAAAAGATACCAAAAACTCCAGTTCTTCACTGCAATCAACTGGTCATCTGGAGTTTTACCCAGCAGATCTGGTAGCCAATTAATACTACTTATGGAAAATTAGTGGAGGCATTCCATAGAGACTTGAGAGTTGTAGAACATCATGAACAAGATCACAGTATTGGAAGTTTTGAGATTTATGTGATTACTTAATGTCTGTAGGCTTTGGGGTAAGAGCAAGCTGTTTGTTTAAGATCAGGAGACGTTATGAAACTAGCAAAAGGAGTGGTAGAATTTAATAAAAATGAGGTAAATAATTTTGAGAGAAGAAAACCAGTTAGATCCTCTACTCTATGACTGCCTCTATATGATATATCTGATCCCTTTCTCTGATAAATCATTCACCTCCATGGATGAAAGCACACAAGTCGGGATAATTGAGTAATATTGCCTTTTTCTAGTTGGTGGCTTTCATTTCTTTTCCCACTAACTAAAGAGAAGGAATGTTTGTAGAGAGTCAATTTTTGCAGTGTTTGTACTTCAAATGGAGAAAAGTTTGATTAACTACCCCAATAAGCTGTTTGGACAATAGTTCAAAGATCTTAAGGATTATAATCAACCCACTTATCATTAAGAAATTGGGTCAGGTGGCCCAATTTTCTTGTTCACATGTCATACTGCCCCCAACACATTTAACTGTGTTATGTGAATGGGGTGTGTATTTTTGGCATTAGGAGAGCAAACGATTTACAGTATGAATGCCCACACTGTATTAGCCAGGTAGAAAAAAGGAGTCAAACAGTCCTAAAATAATATTTGCTTTGTTTTATATAAATACTATTTAAAGTGAGGCTAAACAAGATGATTTTGCTGTAGGAATTGGAAAAACAACATTGATACGGAAAGCTGCTGAAATTTTGAAATCATCTGGTATCCCCATTGATGGATTTTACACAGAGGAAGTGAGAGAAGGTGGCCGGAGAACAGGGTTTGATGTTGTCACTCTGAATGGAAAAAGAGGAATTTTATCCAGAGTTGGGTAATGAACTTTTAAAATATATTTTCTGGCACTATTAAAAAAAAACAATCAGTGGAATGCTCCTGTAAGATCATTATGGTTCACAAGCACGAAGAGCAGAAATTTCTGAAATGGCAGAACTTGCCAAGGCAAGTTGGTCTTAATTGGTAAGAATTAGCCCATAAATCAATACTGTAAGCCAGGGGTCTTCCAACTTGGCCCTTTTGTGACTTGTGGACTTCAACTCCCAGAATTCCTCAGCCGGGAATGCCTGGCTAAGGAATTCTGGGAGTTGAAGTCCACAAGTCATAAAAGGGCCAAGTTGGAAGATCCCTGCTGTAAGCTTTTGTGAAAGCAGGAGGGACATGTTTAGCACCACCCCATAATAATGTGCAATGCTGATGGCTGAAGAAATTAGCAAAATAATCTCAATTAAAAATTATGCTATATTTTTAGAACATTTGAAAGGACAGTGGGCAGTCTCCACTCTGGTCTGTCACCTCAAGGCCATTATGTCTCTGAATACCATTTGCTCCTTCAAACTGCTTTTTGTGGCTCTTTTTTATGTTTTATTTATTACATAGATTGGGATGCTAGCAGTCATCTGGAGTACTTAAGAAAGGTGAGGAAACATTAGAAGGAAAAGAGGCTTGGCAAGAAGGCTCTAATACTAACATAATTAAAACCACATATGTAAACATATCCCATGTTGTTTTATTATGTATTTTTCCCCTGAAGATCATTACTGTGTGTTGAAACATATAAGACTTTTGATTGGCTACAGTTAGGTAAATATTTGGCTATATGTATTTTCTTTATGTAGCTCTGGTCATTCAGCAGCAAGGCATGAATATCGTGTTGGCCAATATGTTGTAGATCTAGCTTCGTTTGAGCAGTTGGCTCTTCCTTTGTTGAGAAACGTAAGTTACATAGTAGAACTATGTTTTTTTTTTAAATAATGTATGCGTTTTCATAAAAATGCATAGGCTGTATTTTATGGTGCTTTAAATGTGCATATAAAAAGTGGGGGTTCTCAAAATACTGTGATCATGCTTATTCTTTAAATAGCATATTGTATCTTGTAAGTGTTCATTTCACACATTTGTGGAAGTTTATTCACTGACGGAAGAATTTTGTGATCATGAATTTAAAGACTTGCAAATAAACATGTTTATTTCTTTGTATCTCTCATGGTAATGCAAGAGACATAGCAAGGTAGACTCATAAGTAAGATACATTACAAAAAACAAGTGCCAATATGGTCCTCCGCTGGCCCTTAGCAGCTGATGTTTCCAATGTAGATTTACAAATATTATTTGTCAATAGTATTTCAGCTATATAGTTTATTGTCTTATCATAGATAATAATAATAATAATAATAATAATAATAATAATAATAATAATAATAATAATAATAATAATAATAATAATAATAATAATAATAATAATAATAA